GAGAGACTCAGCTCCTCTTCTCAAGATTGTACTACACAATGCACTAGCCTGAAAAGAATCTCTTAATTTATACAGTGCCAACAAAGGCCCAGCGGGGGACCTGCCTCCCATGCACCTTACCTGAACTTTCTGAAGACTTCTCAGACACATGGATTTCAATTTTTTTTGATAAAAACACCCTTATCAGCCATGGTAATCTGTGATTATTTTAAAATTTACTGTATATGGGAGAAACCACCATCTTTCCATTGCTTCTTGTTTATAACCCTTGCCTCTATTTCTGCTGAACTACAGTATTTTTGCTTTTTACTTGTTGAACTCTTTATTTAATGAACATTAAGCCCTTGACTGTAATGTAAATTAAAATGTTATATCAAAAATGAAAAAGGGAAGAAAGAAAAAGAGAGGTAGGAAGGAAGGAAGGGAAGGGGAGAGAAGAAGGGGATATCATTATATTCTTGGAATTTTATCAGTGAGCTACAGTGAATCTGTTCTGTTTGAATTAATATCACATTGACATGAAAAAATTATGATGATAAAAAACCCTTTATCTTTAAAAGACTTATTTATTTGAAAATCAGAGTTACAGAGACAGAGGGACAGAGAGATCTTCCATCTGCTGTTTCACTCCACAGATAGCCGCAATTGCCAGGGTTTCAAAGTTGAAGCCAGGAGCTAGAAACTTCGCCTTGGTCTCCCACCTGGGTACAAGGACCCAAGCACTTGGGCCATCCTTTGCTGCTTTTCCCATCCACTAGTGAGGAGCTGGATCATAAGTGGAACAGCTGGGACTCAAGCCAGCACCCTTATGGGATGCCAGTGTCACAGGTGGTGGCTTTACCTTCTACACCACAATGCTGGCCCCCAGAAATCCTTTATCTTTTACTTCTATTTTAACAAGCTTTTTGAAGCAACCTTATAGAATACTGCTTAGCAATAAAAAGGAATGAGTACTGATACATGCTACTGAAACTTGTGAGAAGACACCTGCACAACCAGCTTTTACTATGCCCTTATTATCCATTATAATAGTGCTAGAAACTATTATCATTATTTTAATGTAACCTAAAGTGATCCACCATCAGCTTATAGGCACCTAGGAAGGATAATAGCAATGCTAAGTGTCTTTGAGCTAAGTAATCCAGTAATTACATTAAGTTGATTATCCCCGTATCACACACTCCCCCTTCCCTCCACCTGGCCAGATGTGACCCTACCCTGACCCAGGTCCAGGAATGTAAAAGGGAGGTTTAAAGTTTGAGATAACAACCAGCCCCTACCCTGGAGTCAGCAACAGGTGTGGGACTTATCAGAAGTGTCAACTTGATCTATAGCATTCCCCTACAGCCTGCTTGGACATGATAATAAAAGCTCTGTAAGAATTGGGCTCGGGGCTTCTCAGAGGCTTCCTCTCTTGGAGGCACAGAGAGGCCCGGGGTTCGCACTCGTAATAAAAACGACCCTGCTAATTGGCTTCAACTTTGGTCTCTGGTGGTGTGATTTTCGGGGGCCCACGGACTGCGGGCATAACACTTGAAAATGTTACACTAGGTAAAGAAACCCACTTACATGAAAGGTGCAAACAGGCAAATCTAGAGATGGAAAGTAGATCAGTGGCTGGCCTAAGTCTGAGAAACTCGAGGGGACCTGAGGGGAGCTGGTGCTGTAGTGCAGGGGGTTAACCACCGCTTGTGATCCTGCATCCCATACGAGCACCAGTTTGAGCCCTGGCTGCTTTGCTTCTGAACCAGTTCCCTGCTCATGTGCCTGGCCAGGCAGCGGAAGATGGTTAGAGTATTCAGTCCCCTGCCACCCATGTGAGAGACCTGGATGGAGTTCCTGGCTCCTGGCTTAGGCCTGGCCCAGGCCTGGCCCAGCCCTGACTACTGCGAACTTTTGGGGAGTGAACCGGGGAAAGGAGGGTCCTTGTCTCTTCTCTGTCACTTTGCCTTTCAAATAAGTAAATAAATCTTAAAAAAAAATAAAAATAAAAAAAGACCCCTGCCTCGCATAATGGAGTGCCAGGGTTGAAGACCAGGCTCTACTCCCAAGTATAGCTTCCTGCTAATGCTGACCCTGGGAGGCAGTGGATGACAGCTCCAGTAGGGGCCCTGCTACCAAAGTGGGAGATCTGCATTAAGTTCCTGGGTCCTGGCTCTGGCTCTGGCCCTGGCTATTGTGGGCATTTGAGGAGTGAACCAGTCGATGGGAATGCTGTCTGTCTGCCTCTTAAATAATAAAAACAGTTTTTAAGTTCATGAAAAATGCACTTAAAAAAAACTATGCATAGATTTCAAGAATTTTTTGTACCAAAATAAACATCTTTTAAATCCCCATGTATGCGAAAACAAAGGGAACAGCATTCCCATGAGCTTCTCTTGAAAAGATTACAAAATAATTACTAAATACTTGGTCAACTAAGACAAAGAAAATACAGCAAAAGGATTGACAATGAACCTTGAGTCTATTAGCTGTTAGACATTCTGAAACAAAGGCAGGATTATGGTCATGGGACAGAATTTAAATGTTATAAACATTAACACAAATGGGAGGGAATGAAAAGAAAGTAGTATAAATGCATTATATCTTAACTTTTTCAAAAAAGATTTATTTATTTGTTTTAAAGAGTTATAGAGAGAAAGAGGGAGAGAGAAAGAGAGAACGAAGGAGAGAGATATCTTCTATCCCCTGTTTCATTTCCAAGATGGCCGCCAGGAGCTTCATCCAGGTCTCCCACATGGGTGGCAGGGGCTCAAGCACTTGGGCCATTTTCTGCTGCCTTTCCTAGGCCATTAGCAAGGAGCTTGATTGGAAGTGGAGCAGTCAGGATGCCGGCGTCATAGGCAACAGCTTTACCAGTATCTTCACTTTTTATGAATGACATTTAAAGCTGTTAAATCAAGTAATGGAGGTCTAAAAGAACATTAACCAAAATTTACCCAGTGAATAAGCCAAACAGAATATGCTTTTGGATTAGAAAGACCTGCCTTTAAACACTGAGCACTGCTTTATGACTTTGGGCAAGTTGTTCAGTCTCAACTTCCCTGAACAGAGGTTCCCTCAGCAGAAGTGTCTCTCAGGCTTGCTAGGTTTAGAATATAATAAATACTCATTATTTGTACATATTGGTTAAGGGAAACAGTTCAGCAAATCAACTAAATATGTAGATAAAGTTGCTTGGGATGTGATAAGTTTTCTCAAGGTATCCTGCTACATTGAGAAGGGGCTACTGTAGGGCAGGCAGTTGTTCCTGTCACTCTATTGAAGCTGGTTCAAATCCCAGCCTCTGATCCTGCATATTTTCTTTCCTACAAGATTTGTCTCCTTGGAAAATAATTGCTTGCTCTTGTCTCCAGTGAGAGATCTGAACTTACACAAAGAAACAAAATTTGTTGGTACTATCTGTTGAGTTTACTTTCCCCCAAATCAAAAAGGAAAGATTGGGGTTTTACTCTTATACTGAGAGTGGTTTCAATTTTAATTTTTTAAATTTTTGAGAGAGAGAGATCACTTCCATCTTCTAGTTCATTCCCAAATGCTGGCAAAGTCAACTCTGGGCTGGTGTGAAGAAAGGAGTCAGGGGCTGCAACCAGGTCTCCACATGGTGGCAGTGCCCCAGGTCATCGTCTGCTGCCTCCCAGGGTGTGCATTAGCAGGAAGCTGGAATGGGAGCCCATCGCTGCAGTCCAGGTTCTCCAATGCGGAATGCCTGCGTCCCAAGCTGCATCTTAACCCCTATGCCAAATGTCCGCTTTTGACATTAAAAAAAAATATTTTTATTTCTTTGAAAGGCAGAGTTGTTGGGGGGGGGGAGGATGGGAAGAGACAGAGAGAGAGAGATCTTCCATTTGCTGGTGCATTTCCCAAATGGCCACAACAGCCAGGCTGGGCCAGATCCCAGCCAGGAAGTTCCTCCAGGTCTCCCATGTGGGTGGCAGAGGCCCAAGAATTTGGGCCATCCTCTGCTGCTTTCCCAGGATATTAGCATGGAAGCTGTATCAGAAGTGGAACAGCCAGGACAGAGCTGGTGCCCATATATGGGATGCTGGTGGTACAGGCAGCTGCCAACCTGCTAGGTTGCAATGCCAGTCCCAGGAATTTTTAAAAATAAACTATCATGAAAAAACAATTTTTTAAGATTTATTTATTTATTTGAAAGAGTTACAGAGACAGAGATCTTCCATCTGCTGGTTCACTCCTCATGTGGCCGCAAAAGCCAGGGCTGGGCCAGACTGAAGCCAACAGCCAAGAGCGTCTTCAGGGTTTCCCACGTGGCTGCAGGGACCTAAGGACTTGGCCATGTTCTATTGCTTTCCCCGCCTCATTAGCAGAGAGTTGGAGCGGAAGTGGGGCGCTGGGACTCCAACTCAGGCCTCACGGGCGGTGGCTTTACCCGCTAGGCCACACCCCGCCCTGAAAACTTCAATCATACATCTAGTAGAAAAGCATAGGGCCCCAATCTTGGTTAATGCACAGTCTTACCCACGCCTCACCTCCTACCTGCTGGATTGTTGTGAAGCAAATCTCGCATAATTTTATCCAAAAATATTTCAGTACGATTCTCCTTTGTAAAAACACCACAAGGCACTGTCCTGTCTTAAAACAGTACCAGCGCTTCCCCTGTGTCATTAAATGCTCGGCCAGGGTTCCACATTTTCCTCTCGGTCTCCAACGTTTTGAAAGCAGTCGGGTCGTCAAATCAGAAGCCGCGGGTCACGGGTCAAGGGCAGCCGAAGGCCTGGCCGGAGCCCTCCGGGTTACAGATAAACCGCAAATTCCCTTTCGCGATCGGAGCAGGTGCGTCCGCGGGAAGCCGGCCCGGAAGGGAAGCGTGTCGCTGGGTGCGGTTTACACCCGCGTTTGCATCCGCAGTGGAAAGGCCGTCCCCTCGCCTGTCCCGGGACGTCGAGGTCACCGCCCCACGCCCTCGGGCGCCCCTCTGCCCTGGCGGCCTCGCCTCCCCGCGTCCCGCGTCCCGCGTCCCGCGCCCGCCCAACGCCGCGGCGCCCGCGGGAGCGCGAGCCGGGACGGAGCGGCGGCGGCGGGAGCTCGGGGTCGCGGCTCGGTGGGGACGGCGGGGCCACCTCCGGGCCGTGCCCCTGACCTGCGCCGGAGCTCAGCTCGGCTCACAGCCCCGAAGCCCGGCATTCTCCACAGCTACCGATTTCAAACGTTGACCTTTTCGGCCCTCGGGGCGTCTACTGTCTATGGCTGCCACGAAGGCTCCGAGCTACGGCGAATATTTCAGTCCCGAAAGGTTGAAGGAATGGCCGGAGCCGGAGTCCGTTTCTTTCATGGAGGTACACATCCCGCGGCATTCAGCGGCGGGCGGGCGGGCTGAGGGCACTGGACCGGGACCGGCCGGGGTCGGAGCCGGCGAGGGCGAGGTGGAGCGCCCGGCCCGGACGGCCGTGGCGTGGGCCAGCAGCAGCCTGCGAAGAAGCCGGGAGTGGGAACGGCTTCCCCGGGAAGCCCCGTGGCTCTGCGCGAGCCTGTGGTTTGCCTCACTGTGAAGAAAAGCTCTTGGCCATTGCCTTTGCCGCCATTGCCGTGTCATCAAGAGTCGAGAGAGGCTTAATTTTTTAGATTTTTATTTATTTATTTGAGAAGCAGAGAGAGAAAGAAAGGTCTTCCGTACGCTGGTTCACTCCCCAGATGAGCGCAAGGGCCGGAGCTGGGCCCATCTGAAGCCAGGAGCCAGGAGCCAGGAGCTTCCTCCGGGTCTCCCACGTGGGTGCAGGGGACCAAGGACTTGGGGCATCTTCCACTGCCTTTCCAGGCCATTAGCAGAGAGCTGGTTGGGTAGAGAAGCAGCCGGGACTCAAACCAGTACCCATATGGGATGCCAGCGCTGCAGGCAGAGACTTAGCTCACTAGGCCACAGCACCGGCCCTGAGGCTTCATTCTTGTTACGTGTGCAGAAAGCTGTGGGTTTCCAAGGGTTGCAACACGTCCTTATCATCTAGTTTAGATTTTCTGGCAAAATCGTGAAGCATCACAAAAACAAAAAGGGTAGAAATTCTGATACCCGACCAAGATAACAGGAGCCTTCAAAAACTTCATGGAAATTGCACATCATAAAAACTAAGTGCCTTTAGGCCGGTGCCGCGGCTCACTAGGCTAATCCTCTGCCTTGCGGCGCTGGCACACCGGGTTCTAGTCCCGGTCGGGGCGCCGGATTCTGTCCCGGTTGCCCCTCTTCCAGGCCAGCTCTCTGCTGTGGCCCGGGAGTGCAGTGGAGGGTGGCCCAAGTGCTTGGGTCCTGCACCCGCATGGGAGACCAGGATAAGTACCTGGCTCCTGCCATCGGATCAGCGCGGTGCACCGGCCGCAGCACGCCAGCCGCGGCGGCCATTGGAGGATGAACCAACGGCAAAGGAAGACCTTTCTCTCTGTCTCTCTCTGTCCACTCTGCCTATTAAAAAACAAAAACAAAACAAAAAAAACAAAAACAAAAAAAACAAAAACAAAAAAACACTAATTGCCTTTCAGATCTGTTTGCACCATAATATACATCTTTAAAATCTTTATTTTTATTCCGTTGAGAGGTACCCATTATACCAGCGTTGTGCTATGATGGGTAAAGCCACAGCCTGCAACGGAGTCCCGACTGCTCGCCCTCTGATCCAGCTCCCTGCTAATAGCCTGGGAAAGCAGCAGAAGATGGCCCAAGAGTTTGGGCCCCTGCACCCATGTGGGAGACCCAGAAGAAACTCCTGGCTTCGGCCTGACCCAGCCGTAGCTGTTGCAGCCATCTGGGGGACTGAATCAGCTGATGGAGGTTCTCTCTCTCTAACTGACTTGAAAGTAAAGAAATCAATCTTTAAAATAATCAAATACGATCAAAGGAAATAGAGCAGAGACAGAGATCTTTCATCTGCTGGTTTACGGCCCAGATGCTGGCAACAGCCAGGGCTGGGGGAGGCGGAAGGGAGGCGCTCCATGCAGATCTCCCACGTGGCTGGCGAGGCCCGGACTACCTGAGTCATCACTTGCTGACCCCCAGGCTGTGCATCAGTAGGAAGCTGGAGTCAGAAGGGAAACCACCACTTGGACCCAGGCACTCCCATGTGGGATTCAGGTGTCTGAAGTCTTAGCCAATTGTGCCAAATGCCCACCCCTAAAACATCTTTGAAAAAATTATTTTACAAATTAATTTGAGAGGGAGAGTGGGAGACGGAGAGTGCTCCCACCTTCTGTCTCATTCCCCAGATGCCCTCCAGGGTGGGGGATGAGCTGGGCTTCCAATCCGAACTCAAAACAGTTCTCCCACGGGGGTGGCAGGAACACAATTACTTCAGCCATTATCTCTGCTTTTAGGGTCTGCATTAGCAGGAAGCTGAAATTAGGAGCCAGAGCAGAGATCAAACCCAGATAATCTGATGTGGGATCCAAGCATCTTTTTTTTTTTTTCTATTTATTTATTGAAAGAGTAGAGAGAGAGCAGAGACAGGGAGAGAGTCTCATCACTGTCACTCCCCAGATGCACATGCGGAGCTTGTGCCGATCCGAGCAG